TACCGACCTCAGAGCATCTCCTCGAGCAAAGCGAGCGAGAAGCCCTGCGTAGGAGACACTGGAAATGCTCCACGGAAGGCCTCTGCCACGCCCAGGGCACTTTCCAAACAAACACAGAAGCAGAACACCACGTCCTCCTGGGCTTGCCTGGCGGCTAAAGCCTGGCACGTGACCCAGGCCACTGCTCGCATTTACCCGTGAAGCGGGACTGCCATTCCGAGAGAGGCTCCGGGGAAATTCCACGCTGCTGGCTAAGGCACAGCCAGGCAGGGGGCAGGGGGCAGGGGGCAGGACAAGGTTTCTTCTGCAGCAGTGACGTGGGCATTGCAAGCTGTGTGGGCGGGTCCAGCGGGTGGTGGTGGTGGTGGCAGGGTGTTTTCCTACTGGGGGCTGGGGGCTTTGTCACTGGAAACTTAGACTGAGCTCTCCAGGTCCCCCCGCCCCTCCAACAACCTGGGTAACCATGAGCTCCCCAGTGTCTTTTTAAACCCCCTTTCCTACGTTGTGTGCACCAAGAACCCTCAAGGATAGTCTTCTTGTTCAAGTTTGCCTGAGTGGTCGTTCCTTGGGGTCCTGGGAGCAGCAACAACAGCCGCCACTTGTCCAGAGCCCGGGGACGGTGCCATGGGCTCTGTGTACAGTCTCATGGAATTCTCACACCTCGTTCACAGTAGGGAAAACGGAGCCATTAAGGGATGAGGGGACTTGTGGCTCAGTGGTTGAACATCGACCTATGAGCCCAGCAGGGGGCGTGCAGGAGGCGGCTGATCAATGATTCTCTCTCATCATTGATGTTTCTCTCTCTCCCTTCCTGTCTGAAATCAATAAAAACATATTTTTAAAAATAATAAAATAAAATAAAAAGAGGTTAACTCAGAGTTGTGAGTAGACAAGCTCTTGAAGCTCAACATGATTCCAAGAGAGAGGGAAGCAGCAGTGGGAAAGGCAGCGCTGGCCCAGGCTGTGGGGCGGCAGTGAGGGCATCTGTGGCAGGATGGGCAAAATCTGGCGGGTCCTGAGGACCAGGGACACCTACTATGCTCACAGCTGGTGAAAGAACAGAGATATCTGGCCGTCCAAGGGCTTCCCGGGACAAGGGCAGAGATTACTGACAATGGAAGGTATTGTTACCCCACAAGCTATTCTCTGAGCCCCCCAGGGCTGAGGGGATGGGCAGCGGCACGTGGCAAAGGACGCAGCAAGCACTTCAGTGCGCAGGTCTGCCTCTCCCACACATGCTAATACAGGAAATTCTTCTGCCTCCGTTTCAAGCACTTATTTGATTTGCATAATTCCGAGGCCAATAAATCTCAGCATTAAGGCTGATTTGACGTGTGATGCAGACAGCCTAATTACGAATGAGGCATTTTATCAGCTCCTCTAAATTTTCTTTTCTCTGGTCTACAATTTTTTATGCTGGGTTGATCATTCTTTTATTCATAAGGGCTTCGTTCCGATTTGTCAAGGCTGCATTAACAGGGCAGCGAATGGAGACTTAGACATGGAAGTCTGATCGCATTTATCCTCAGTAGCAAAATGAATGAAGCAGCAGGAAGAAAGCCTCCCGCGCCGGGGCCTCTCTAGCCAAGCCCGAGTCGCCTCAGATATGTTTTGCTTGTATCTCCCAGAACCGGGCTGGGCTGTAAACACTTGGAGGCAGTGCCAACCTCACTGCCATCGACTGACAGCCCAGCTCACTGCTTAGAGAGGCTCGGGTCAGAGAGGCCAGGGGTGTATTCTCCCACCCACTCCCTCTCCACACACTCAGAGAGCACCTTTCAGGCCAGGCTCCGGGGTATAAAACATACTCAAGTCCCAGTCACATGGATCATGCCACCACGGTTGGCCAACGCAGGAAACATATCTTAGCCAAGTATCAAGGCTGGGAGCATGCTGGAAAGATTATCTGCTCTCTTCTCTTGCCTCGGGGAGGGTGACCCTCCCAACTGGTTTTTCTATTACATAAGGGCTGCCAAATGCTGGGGGCATCACAGACAGTGACTTTGACTGGCAGGATTTATTACTATTTGTGTATATTGGCTTCTCAGGGCTGGCATAGCAACATACCATAACCTGAGTGGCTTCAACAACAGAAGTGTAGTGCCTCACAGTTCTGGGGGCGAGAAGTCCAAAATCAAAGTGTTGGCGGGGTGGGTTCCTTCTGTGGCTGTCAGGGCCTCTCTCCGTGGCTTGGAGATGACCGGCTTCTTCCTCTGTCCTTTGGAGGAGGAGAGAAAGAAGAAGATAGAGGTGGTTAAAGTTTGGTATTTAAAGGCTCTTTACCTTACACAGAATCCACTCCCAAAAGACCCATCAAGATTCTTCAGTAAATACGGGCTGGATTCCTACGTGTCCCCCAGTGCTCACATGAAGAAAGGGAGAAGATGCTCTTCCTGGCTTTGAAAAGTAAACATAAAAAATTGCAATGCGATACCCTGGCCAGTGTGGCTCAGGGTTTGGGTGCCATCCTGTGCACTGAAAGCTTGCAGGTTCCATTCCCAGGCAGGGCACATACCCAGATTTTGGGCTCAATTCCTGGTGGGGGTGGTGGTGGTGTACAGGAGGCAGCCAATCAATGGTTCACTCTCACATCGATGTTTCTCTCTCTCCCTCTCCCTTCCTCTCTCCCTAAAAATCAATAAAAATATTTTTAAATTACAATGCAATGAGGTAAGTACTCCAACATGGGAGTCATGGGACATGCCCTGTCATCCCAGAAATGGCTGTCAGCACTCAAAACTGAGACTCAAGAATCATCAAATAGCCCTAGCTGGTTTGGTTCAGTGGATAGAGCGTCGGCCTGCAGACTGAAGGGTCCCGGGTTTGATTTTGGTCAAGGGTACAAGCTCAGGTTGCAGGCTCGATCCCCAGTAGGGGCTGTGCAGGAGGCATCCAATCAATGATTCTCTCTCATCATGGATGTTTCTATCTCTCTCCCTTCCTCCCTTATATATATATATGATTTATTTATTTAAAAAATAAAATAAAATCATAAAAATGACTCATATTTTTATTGGACCTCGCTGCCCTGGAGGTTAAAAAGCCAGTTGGGAGGCACCAGCTCAGCAAAGCGTTACCTGGGACCACAAGGGGGCAGTACTGCAGCGCTGAGCTGCCTCCGGCAGGAGGTTAACGGGAAGCAGTCTGGCTCCTAACATTTATTCTAATGCTTTTAATGGTAGTTTTAAATTGCTTTTTCTAAAGTTTAAATGGTCCATATTATGTTATCCCTGAGTTAAATAATAAAAATAAGAAGCCTAAATAGTAATTTCTCTAGGAGTTCCAAACTCCTGAATTACAATATTCAAGACTGGAATTTAAGGAAGCTGCAAGTTTCACTACCACAGCTAGGGAAGAACTGCAGGCACAAACTATAAGCGACCCAACTGCACATTAAGGGGCTGGTGAGATGAATTAAGGTACAGCTATAATATGGAATATTTTGTAAGGATTACAAAGGATGTAAGTAAATTATTATTAACACGGAAATACATTTATGCAAAATTCTGTGAAAAAGCCCAGCTACAGAAGTGTATGCCCAGTATGCATGTCAATTGTAAAATTGAAAAGAAAAAAAAACATTAAAAGCATGCACTGGCAGAGGGTGGGCTGAAAGGACACTGCCCAAGACATTAACAATCATCTCTGCACAGACTACGGGTGGCCTTCCTTCCTTATTTTTGCAACTGCTTTATAATTCATTTTTAAAGTTATTTTTAAGTTGTCCTACCTATTCTTCTTTTCTAATGCCACCGTCTTTCCCAACCTGTCCTGAGCCCTAGCTCAAGAAAGAACCAGTGTCTTGGTTAAAATCCCGGCACTTCCCAGTACCTAGCTGGGGTTTGCACCTTGTCCCACCTCGTCCTCTAGCCCCGTGTGCGTGTCGTCTCCCCTCCAGGCCTGTGGAGCTCGGCACGGGGTCCCGTGTCTCCTCGGGGTCCCGACCCACTGCCTGGAGCCCACCTGCCTGACCACCGCGTTACGGTAAAACGAACACAGGTCTGGCCGACGTTTCGCCGTCGGCTGAACCAAAACCGCAAGGTTCCACCCCTGACACAAGGTGACCGGCCAGGAATCAACGCCCTGAGGCCAGGCTACGGACCTCTCTCCCGCGGGACAGCCGCGCCGCCGGCTGCCGAAGCACCTGTCACCGCTGGGGCCTCAGCAACTGGGCGGAGTGGACGCTTCCGGTACGGCAAGGAGGCGCTGCCGCGAAGTTTGTCCCTTCGGAGACGCCGTGCAGGCCGCTCGTGTCACGTGATCGAGGAGCCTCCTGAAGGCGGAAGCGGCGCGCTGCGGGGCTTGGGTCGGGGTGGACGGCCAGGC